CCTGGGGTTATAGCTTCACCGTATTTGTTAAACAAAAGGAGATAATTAAAGGAGCTATAAAAAAATTCCCTCCAGAGCCTGTATTTGATCTGCACACTGGCTTCGTTTATTAATTGATACAGATTTCTGGTTCAGTTCACCCTGTGCCCGTTGTTGAACAATGATCTGTGTGGTCAGCGTCTGTGACTGCAGTGGTCTGGGGAGCTCAGGGCTGCACACCATGTGAAGTATGGCTCCTCTTCTTGAGAAAGTCAGTCACCTCAGCCGAAGACACGCATCCAGACATTCAGGGCACGAAGGAGAGAGCAAGGGAGGAAGCCAGTGTTGCTGATCTCGCCTAATGTCCCTCTCTTGCCCTCCTTCTTCATGTTCATGTTTTCCTGGTCCATTTTTCCCCCCTTTTTCTTCTCCCCCATTCCCTTAAGTAGAGGTGACACAGATCAATACCTTTGATGGAAAGTAATAATCAGGCCTATTAAGTGACAAAGGTTTACTCTGTAACAGCTGTGCTGGCGGGAGAGGAGAGCTTGTCTGACTAATGAATCATGAAACAATCAGGCAGTAGCCATTTGTGTTTAGATCTGTAAATATGGTGTGGTTCAAGTGCCAGACCATTGCCGGCGCTCCAGCTGGGGGCACAGATGGTCCGCATTCAGAGCAGTGCTAGTGTGAAGAAAGGGTTTTTTCCCTTTCTCTGTCCCACACTGCACCTCTCTGAGCCTCAACTCAGCTGTGTGCAAGAGGAACTTCAGAGAAAGCAAAGAGATTCTTTTCAGGGGAGGAAGCACCTCCAATGTGCATTTCCACGTAGGTTACCAAGTACTGGAGGCTCCCACATCCTCCACCTGGGAGGTGAAAAAGCTAATGGAAAATGCTGCTGTTTTGTATTCCCATAGAAGAATTGATACGTGTGTGACTCTAAATGTCTGTTTGACTTGGCACTGCCAAATGTATTCCTTTATGTTTTTCTTACCCATTACTATACTTGACCTCTTGTTTTGTTCTTAGCTATAAACTGAACAAGTTGAGAGAAAAATATGTATTCCAAGATGAGAAACTCACATTTATATACAAAGCTAAAACTTTTCTGTATAAAATATGCTAATAATTTTTGTTTGGATTCTATTTCTCTTAGTTCTTGAAGTAAGGATCTTCATCTTTGAGAGACTAGCGCACCAAGAGCTGGTCATCCTGACCTCAACCCAACATGATTTTATAGTTTTTTTGTTATTGTTGTTCACCTTAGCCAAGGAAGCTTTATTTTTTACCAGAAATGGATACTGAGCTGCCATTTAAAGAATCAACATTTAAAGTCATTGTTGGTTGAATCATTTATTTATTCATTTAATGAATCCATTTTTTATTAAGTATTTCATTTTGTTTTAATTATTTCTTTTGGTGCCCTAAAACCTTGGGTACTTAGCGGTTTCTGGTGAGTTCCTTGTAGAACTTGCATTACATCATCCTTTCAACCATGGGAAACACGTTCTTCACTATTTTTTCTCACCATTAAAATATGTTGTAAAAAGTGGTCAGTAGGGGCACAATTTGTAAATGTTTAGGAATACTTAGTAAAGACAGATATTTCAAAGTATATTCTGGTATTTACATTTTTCCTATGAATTTGGCCTCTTTTTTGGGAAGCCCATTTTCTTTTGCTTCTCTCTAGATAAGTTAAAGAAATTTTTAGGATAAGCTACAGTTATTGAAGTGAACCCTATCGGTGTTTCTATTGATATGCTAAACTGTAAGTTTGCTTTTGAAATGACAGATATTTATGAAATATTTATGAGAGTACTGAGTTGTGATAAAATAGGTCAAGTGCAATCTCCAAATAGCTCTGCCTAGCTGCCTGGGGCTGGCTGACTCTGTTCCTAAGGATGGTCTGGTATGAAAATGACTTAGATTTGGTCTAAGCTTGCTGGTAATTTCAGTTTGTTATTGAACCAGGAAAGAAGCAGTAAAAAGGGCACAGTGAGATTAGGGGTATGAGTGTGTGGAAATGGCCCCCAGCGGCCTCTGCATTTCCTCCAGAGTTATGTCCAAGGTTTGGGGTCAAGACTACTTGGTGGAGTCAGGAGCTCAGAAGGGCATGCTCACTGCCATCTCTAATGCTTAGAATGTCAACACTCAAGGATCAGTCTCATTGTTATCTAAGGAAAATCTAGCCATGCCACAGCTACGTGTTTTCACATATGAATTGCTTCTTTATCTATTAGGCTTCTAGCAGGTCTGGCCATGGCTTACCACAAATCCACTCTGGAAAATAATGGTGATGCAACCGTGACTTGCCCATTACAGATTTAGCTTAGCACTTGCCCCCATTATCCCAGACACTTTAAGTACAACACTGTTCCAATACTTGGCAAACTTGAGATAGTGCCTCTGTAGAGACAGCTTTCAGATGTTTTCAGTTGACTAATTGATCTGGCTTCATCAGCAGTACTTAAAAATTTGAGGTCATAAATCTCTGAAAATCTGATGGGAGACATGGACCCTTTTGTTAGAAAAATACTTGCTCTGATGTTTACATACATAAAATTTTACTACACTGTTTTAGAGGTTTCAGGGGTCTCCCAGAGCCCACCCATGGTCCCCAGATCAAGAGCCTCTGCTTCTCTTCTGTGCTTAGCAACCTGATCAGTCAAGCCCAATCTTGGGATTAGGTCTTTCGGCTCCATCTCAAACTCGTCATCATCTTGTTCTCTGTAGTACCTGACTCCCAATTTTATTCTTATCCCTCTAATTTCTTCTAATCAACTCTTTCTTTTCTTTTCTTTTTTTTTTAAAGACAAGCACCTGAGCTAACAAACTGTTGCCAATCTTCTTTTTTTTCCCCTGCTTTTTCTCCCCAAATCCCCCAAGTGCATAGTTGTATATTTTAGTGGTGGGTCCTTCTAGTTGTGGCATGTGGGATGCTGCCTCAACGTGGCTTAATGAGTAGTGCTAGTCCGCGCCCAGGATCCGAACCGGCGAAACCCTGGGCTGCCAAGGTGGAGCGTGCAAACTTAACCACTGGGCCACGGGGCTGGCCCCCAACTCTTTATTTTCTAATTTCAGTTTTTGCTTTAATTCATTATCATAAATGACCATCCCATTCCTCTCTCTCTGCTAATCTTATAATTGTTTCTCCAGATTTGTTTTGCCTTTATTTTTTTACTTTTCTATTCTTTTTCTATGTTTCCATTATAAAATAATTTTTGTTATGCATGGCACATGCTAGGTACTTAAACTAATAACAATAATAATAGTAGTATAGCAATAGTATTATAGTAGTAATAATATAGTAATCATAATAATATATAGTAATATAATATATAATAATTATAATTGTGTGGTTATATTTATAAATATAATAATAATATAATAAGAATAATAATAGTAATAATATTAGTTAATTATTATTGAGAACTTGCTAGGCATTTTACTACATACTTTCTAACTGTTATTGCTAATCTTCACAGCAACCCTGAAAGACAGATTATATCGCTCTGTATTGATAAGGAACCTGAGGATTCTAGAGATTAAGAATTTGGGCTTTTTTTCCCCTTAAATAGATTTTCTGTTTTTTTCTTAAATAAGTGTTTTTTAAATAGCAAATGTTATCTCACTCCTGAAATGCAAAACAAAAATAACCAATTTAATTGTCAAGAGATAACTGTAAAAATAAATATATAATACATAAATGTTTTTAAGAATCTGCATACCACCAAAAATCACCTACTGCACACTGTGTGACATAACATTTCCCTTGTATACTCTTTTCTTAAATTAGTGCTGGTTTTCTTTTCTGTCCTTTCCTTCTCCTCCCCTTTCTTGCTTCTTTCTTCCCCTCTTAGTTATGCCTCTCCTCCTACTTCTACCTCCCATCAGCTTGTCTCTCTGAGGACTTTGAGTCCATCTTTCTCAAATGGAACATCTGACCTAGCCTTTCACCCTGAATCATCAGACTCCCGTAGGTCAAGAAACCCAACACATATTCCTTGTCCACAGAGTCTCTCCAGCACAAATATTAGCATTGGAAAAGCACTGTTCACACTGTTCTTGCTCCAGCTCCAGGCAGATGGGGGAGGTTGGTTCTTTCTGATACACAGGCAGCCTCCAGGTATGGGGTATTGGACTCGTTGGCTTGAGGGCCAGGATGTCAGACAAATCCCAATGGCCTCCTCTCCCAGATCTGTCAACATTCCCGGCCTCTGTCCTCAGCCCTCCTGTCTCCTCAGTGTACCCTTTGTCCTGAGGTGGTCTCAGGCAGTCCCATGACTGTAAATTAATTTGTAAGTGTGCTGTCTGTCAAACTTACATTTCTGACCTGGACCTCTCCCTCTGTGTCCTCTTGCACCATTTCTCTCATGCTGCAGAATGGTTTTTCTAAAAGTTCTAAAGTTTTTCTATCACTTGCTGCTTAAAGGCATCCAGTGAGTTCTCTTTCTACTAGTAAACAATCCAAGCTCATTAACACATAGGGCACACGGGTCCCTGTGTGTTCTAGTCCTGCCTACCTCCCTGATATCATCTCCCTCTAGAAGCTGCAGCTACACTGACTTTCTTTCTGTGCTTGGAACATACCCAGTTCAGTTCCCCCTCAGGGACTTTATACTTGCTGTACCTTTTCCTTGGGAGGTTCTTTTCCCAGATGTCCCCATAACTGCTTTCTTCTTATCATTCAGATCTCACCTGAAATGTCACCTCTTCTACCCTATGGAAGTCCACCCAGCCCTAGTCATTACTTTTTTGTCTTCATTGCACTTATCAAAACTCAGAATTCTTTCTTTATTGGTGCACATATTTATTGTCAGCTTCCTCCACTTGGAATGCAAACTACTTGAGAGCGGAGTCTGCTTGTCTTCCTCCCTACAGAAGTCTTGGAGCCTTGAACAGAACCTAGTAATGAGAGTCTCTCAATGAATATTATTTGACAGTCTGATTCTTCCAAAAATCCTTTAGTTTCTTTGTCACAGAGCTGACTGTGAAGTGTTTAATATAATACTGTATTTCAGGAATATACCAATGGCCTTACCATTCCAAGATGCTTTCAGCTGACACCTGGTAGAGAGGCATAGTGAGGAACAGCCTGATCCACTCAGTAAGAATCCAGACATTGGCCCCATAAAACCTGGATCTGCTCTTGCTTGATGGTAAGTATTTAAGAAACTGTCAGAAGCTGCCTCGGGGTTAAAGGATAAAAGTGTGGCTGATAACTTGGGATTGGGAGTTGGTGGTAGAGAAAGGTGTTGGGTGAGCTGAATTCTCTTTTGGCCCTTTCTCTTTTGGAATACACTGAGGAATTTTTCTAAAGATTATTCTGGAGGTTGGAATCTATTAAGTCCATTTCTGTACTATTTTAAAATTGTGCTTTGTTTATATATTAACCTTGACTACCTGGTTCTAGTTTTTAGCTTATGTCTAGTAAAATCCTTCAGTTAGTGATATTCCTCTCTTTTATTTATTCTTTCTCCTGTGCTCACTTTTATTTTCCAGTTATTTGAAGCATTCATCAAGAAAACATCACTTCACGTAGGAAAGAGAACCAGTGTTCAAGTCCCAGACCTGAAGTTTACTATCCTTTTTGCCTTGGATTGAACTGAGTCTCAGTTTCTCATCTGTCAAATGGGGAAATCTTATAAGATTATGACTTCCCCTCCAGGTGAGTGGTATCTGAGTGGCTTTGGATAGTTGGCATATGGTTGAGGGAAGCTAAGTTGGGGGTATATTTGTTTGGATTTCGTGGGATGTGGTATGTGGTTTACAGTCATTTGTGAGGGTGAATTATTGCTGGATGTCTTAGTGTAGAAACTTCTTCCAGTGCTGGGTTGTGTTAGCCCTCGTTATGCCATGAAAGAATAGGGCCAGAGGCTGTGTTCTGTGGTGCCCATCACTGGCATATGTGGGGAGTGGAGGAGAAACAGATTTGAGATGTATGGAGTCAGAAGCTAGTCAGGATAATTCTTCTAGATTCTGTGATGTTTGTGGTGTTCGTCAGCTTTGTGAATTTTATAATTTGCTTTGATTTCTTTTCTGATTTAAATCAATATTCACTTTCATACCTAAGTTTTATTCATAATTTTGTATTTTTTTCTTAAAGAGGGCCTTCCTAAATTATATAAGCTTCAGGCCCCATAAACCTGGATCTACTGCTTGATGTTAAGAATTTTTAAGGCACTCAGACCTTTGTTGAGTTAAAACTTGCTTCACTAAAACCAGTCTCAGGTATGGAGGAAACAGAATCATATGGAGCCCCTAGAGCACTATAATTCCATGAATTTTGTGCTCTTGGTAGAAGAGGTTCTCAGTTTTCTAAAACTGTTATTATTTTGTAACTGAAAAAGAAAGTGTTTGGCAGAGCAGGTTCTGTCTGTGCAGCTTCAGGGCAAAAGCAATAGGATACAAGGGTTCCTGCCATTGGAATCAGTTAGGAATCTCGTATGTGTATTTGGCGTCTGTCTAACTCTAGTCTTGAATCTAGACCTTCTCTTACTCCTACCGGGACTGCAATTGGGCTTAAAGGCAGCATTCAAGATAAGGAGATGAGACCTGGAGTCCACAGAACTGTTCATTGCAACTATCTTTACCACCCACAACAGTCCTAATCTCCCTTCTCTACTTTATTATTTTTTTCAAGGTACTTATTACCGTATAATCTATTAAATATTTTATTGTTTAGTGTCTATTTCCCCACTGGATTGTAATTCAGTGATGATAGTGATATTTTATTTTTTTTATTCGCTGCTGTATCCTCAGTGCCTACAAGAATGCCTGACATGTAGTAGATGTTTTAAAAAATTGATAGAATGAATGAATGCTAATATTAGTAGATGGAGTATGGCGAGATGACATTCTATTTCCTTTTAAAGAAGATACCTTTATACTTCTTTTCTCCACTTGCATAGGTTAAGTCAAGGTCCAGAGTAAAAGGCATATACTCCTCACGTCTCACATCAAAGCAAGATCCATAACTCTTTTTAAGCTCTGTCTCTGCACTCCATCCCACCATTGACTAATAAAGTGATGGTGTATTTGGATTGGATCATTCAAGGTGAGGATTAGATTGCCTCTTCAGATCTTCCTTCTTTTTTATTTAAAAATTATTTTATTTTATTATGTTTTTATTATAAAAGAATACATGATCATCATTTGAAAAACCAATAATTTACAATTATGTAACATAGCTTACCTCTTCTGACTGTATTTCTGTAAAAATGGCCACTGTTGTTCTATAGCCTTCTTAGATCTCTTTTCTTCTTCTTATAAACTGTCAACTCTTTTACTAAACATTCACATCGAACAGAGAAAGGCTTGCTTTGGGGAAATGCAATAAGTCAATAAAAGACATGATCCTTACCTTGGGAAATCTAAAACTTAAACATGGAGATAGGATAAATATATGAAAAAGACAATACTTCTGAAGAAATATACAGGCAATGAGTAATTAATTCCATGAAAATGAGAAACATAAGTGCTAGAAGGCAGAGAGCAATAGAGAAACTGTGGCCAAATGAGATGGATGGAAGGAGAATACCTACTGGCCCACGTAACGTCAAGATGGAAATAAGCAATTCTCTATCTTTTTATAGTGCTTTTCTCCCCAAATGGTTATAATCAAGTATACTTAAAGGGTATTCTTCATGTGTATTATGTATATATTTTTTAAATTATATATTATCTCATATATATAACTAATTCATATATGTACCTATTCTATAAAATTACATATGTAATATGTATAAATATATATAATTTAAAAAAATATAAAAATATATATTATATATAATTTTAAAAACATAAAAATTATGTATTACATATATAATTTAAAAAAATAGCTTATTCCTCCTTAAAGAAATGGCCACCATTGCTTTAAACTGTCAAATCGCTGAAATAACTATGCATTTTTGTGACACTGATGAATACACTGTTATTAGTTTGCATGTAAAAGGTGAATGAAATTCAGTCCTTTCGTATGCAACCAGGAAAGAAAAAATAAATCCTTTTGGGTGGCATGGATAAGGGTTTACTTGCGTGTAGTTATAAATTATAATTTAAATTTGACTTCTGAATTTGTCAAGCCTTTTGACCTGTATTCAGAACACTTTGAGAGAGCTCATGCCAGCAAGTTACAATACTGTATTTATCAGCAGCCACCTGCAGAGCTTTAGTCTCCAGCTGCTACTTTTTTTTCAGTCCATTGGCACTTTTTATCTAAAATGGCTGTAGACCAAATAGCGTTGACTAAGAAAAGAAAGCAAAAGGGTAACGTTTCCCTAAAACCATTATTTTATTGGGACAAAAGAGCAAAGTTTTCTGAATCAACCTTAAGAAGTACAGATATTGAACATGTTAACAATACTAGTGTTCTTCCAAAACACCACATTACACCCCACCTCACTGGGTCTATTGAATGGAATGTCGTGCAAAATAAAAGGAAATAAAGAAGGCCAAACTGCTTCTTCTAACAAGGTGCCATCAATAATGCCCACATGGGCGATCGTTCCCTGATTTAAGACCTTGTCTCCTTCATGCATCCACTTAAAGCTCTTTGGATGGGGGAAAACACACCCTGCCCCAAACAGAATGTTAGATTAAGAAAGATTCATCTCATTCTGCTGCCCTGTTCCTTATCTGGGCAGTTTCCCTGGGCTCTCTCTTGGGTATCATTCGTTCTCTTGGTCATTTGCAGTATTGAATTGCTGGCAGATATTTGTACTCCTAAACTTAGACCCTGCACATGTGTACTTACATATAATAGGAACTATGTTCTAATTTTTAAATAGGAAAAATTTTGCTTTTTGAAGGTGTCTTCTTAGGAAGAGCAATCAGAGAGGAACACAGCTGGCTTTGGAAAATGGAGTTTCTACTGAAAGTTTCCTGCTATTATCTTGACAATCTTATTATTATCAAAGCATTTGAATATTAGGTATGACAATGAACACTCACTGCAGGGAGGAGAGGAGCAAGGCCATCAGTGGGAGGGGGCCACTAACAGTTGTGCCCCCTGATGCAGCTATAATAATTTAATATTCTCATACTGGGAGGCACCATTGTGCTTGGCCTGTATTGAGCTCCTCGAGATGTTGTTTCCCTTTAGCCAAACCATCGGGTTGTCCCTTGAACAGCCTGTAAGACTTCAAAAAAGGATCATGCTGATAATGGCCTAAGGGCAGGAGTTTTGTTTTGCCTGGGAGTCAGTAATTTAACTATTACACTGAGGGAGGCTTCTGGGTTTTGAACAGAATTTATTTCAAGGTTGTATTAAACTTCTTAGTAGATCAATAGTTTTTCTTCTTATTGACTACTTGTCTCTTCCTGAAAAATAGGAAAGACACATGCACTAAATGATAGCAACTAGATATATTGGAGTTGCCACATGCTGATACCCCATTCTGTTTGTTTTGTACTTTGTGGCTAGATACTATTTTTTTTGCAGTAGATTTAACTCTTTCATCTAAATTTCTGTGCAATATCAGGTAGGATTTGAAGCTGTCATATGAAAGATGCTAAAGGGAAGAGGCAGATTATTCTTTCATGTAATTCCTGTTTTTGTCTTTTTCCTGGTACCAGTGCAGAGGATAACCTCCCTGAAGTGTTTAAGGCGTTATGATTTGAAAACAGATTCATGAGCCCAGCTATATTTTGTCAGAGAATGGTACAGAACATGCTATACGGAGGATTTGTCTCAGTCTGTATCATGTGAAGGATTTTGTTATATTTTTACATCATAACATCGTACTATAACAAACATTCGGAGAATATTTGTTACAATGAACTCCAGGGTATTTTTGAGAGAGAAAAGGGAAAAAAAGGTGAATGCACTTTCTTCTTTGTAAAACTGATTTAGACCGGGAAATGAGGGTTTATCCAAGGTTATGGATGTAGCAGAGTGTAGTGTTAAATTAGGCTGACCTGACCACCATGTGGTTTTTGATTATCATGGGTTGTCTCCAAGACATACTTTAAAAAAGAACAAGAAATATTAGTAGAGCTGTTAAGCATTTGGTCCTTTGTTTTTATTCATTTTGATCCAAACAGTGGGAAGCTCTCACAGAAAATGCCTGGCTTAAAATACCACATCACCATGGGAAAGTGGGTATTTCAGTTACTTATTTTTTTAACTGCTGAATATATTTTAGGAATTTGAAGGCTTTACCTGTTGATAAAGAGATGGTTTTCTTTTGACCATATCTCACACCAGAGTTTAAGCAATGTGAGCTCATTAAGAAATGCCAGGCTTGTGGTTTGAAATGTCCCTTTGAGATTCCCATGACCACAGGGGTCTTGTCCCTTGTTTTGGAGTCTGGTGACCTCAGGCATGAAGGTCAGAGGGCATCGTGGTATTCTTTGCACTTCTATTGTTTGCATTTGTACTCGGGATGGTAAAAAAAGAGTTATCATTACCAACCTTCATCTCTAACTCGGGTTGATAGAGCAATTGAATGTGAATTATTATTATTGGTATATTTATGCTGAGTCCCCATGGAGAACAAAGGCTCTTTAGGAAATGGGTCCTGACCATTAATATGACCATTATCGTGATAGCAAAGAATGCAATTTAGGTTAAGGAGCAGACCATCAAGGTTAACACCCTACTCATTCTTTGTACGTTTGTGTGTGTGTGTATAAAGTGCTGCACAAGCAAACAGCTGAAGGAGAGCATGAGGGAAATTCTCCATTTTCAGTAAGAGCTGTAATTGCTGAAGTAGACATGTATCTAGATGTCTGCATCTCTCCGTGAACACCCAAAGATATCTAATTATCAGTTTTTAAAATGAGATATGAATAGACACATTTTTTTAAAGGCACAGAGTTCCAAACTTGGGTCCTAGGAAAACAAGAAAGAAGCAAAACAAAACAGATGCAGAAAGACATTAACAATTGAATTAATTCAGGCTCAAGATGAATTAAAAATTGTAGTAGAGAATTTTATTAGGAGAAAATGTAAGATAAAATTGCCATTAGTTACATTTGCTAAGTCTTTGGTGGTAAGTATATTAAAATTGTCATCTAATGATTGATGCTAAAGATGTATAGCAGGGCCATTGGTTTCTCCTGAGAAGCTCACATTTTCCTTAAAGTCTCACTTGGCAAGCATCGTCTTATTTTACAGTGCTAACTTGGAACAGACGTTACAGGTAGAGGAGGCAGAATGGCATAGTTGTCAGGGGCATGGACTTGAGCTGATTGCCCTGGACTCAATCCCAGCTCCACCAATAGTTGCATCACTGAGAACAAGTTATACCTCCCTGTGCCTCAGTTTCCATATTTGTAAAATAAGGTTATTAGAAAGATTAAATAAGTTAGTACATATAGTGTGTTGCTGTGCACAACACATAGTAAATTGTTTTAGCTCTCTGTGCCTCAGTTTCCTGTTTTAAGGATAGTGATCATACTTCTTCCATAGAGTTCTTGTTAGTATTTAATGAATTAATATTGTATAGGTAAGGTGCTTAGAACAGTGCCTGGCACTCTGTCAATTTTAGGCATTATTATTATTCTACAGAATAAAGATCAGATCTTCTGGACTCTAATTCAGTTCTTTTATAAAACATACACAGCTAATTTCATGAGGAAGATTGTTCTCTTCATATACAATTCTTTTTTTGGGGGGGAGATTAGTTAGCCCTGAGCTAACATCTGCTGCCAATCCTCTTCTTTTTTGCTGAGGAAGACTGGCCCTGAGCTAACATCTGTGCCCATCTTCCTCTACTTTATATGTGGGATGCCTGCCACAGCATGGCTTGACGAGCTGTGTGTAGATCTGCACCTGGGATCTGAACTGGCAAACGCCAGGCAGCTGAAGTGGAACGTGCAAACTTAACTGCTGTGCCACTGGACCAGCCCTCATATACGATTCTTAAGAGTAATTGAAAGTCCTCGTCAGAAATTCTGGCACATGATCACACTTGTATCTGAAGATTTTACAATCCTATGTTAGAAATCACATAAAGGTAGGAAGAGATTAATTTTCATGAAAACAATAATGAATCTCTTTAGAGACCTATTCCCAACTGATTTTATCTTACTTTTTTATTCAGAAAAAAATAT